CTCTCGCTCTCTCTTCCTTTGATCTGGTCTCTCTCTAAGTTTAGACATTGAATCTCTTACTATTCCGGAATGGTCTGCTGTTAAGGTTTAGCTAAGTTTTATTAGTTCTTTTTCCTGACTCTTAATGCTCTCTGCACTCATTTACATTCCTCTAGGAGTGTTTCTCAAACTTTTTGGTCTCAGCACCTATATACACATGTAAAGCTTTAGGACTCAAAAAGCTTACATTTATGTAGGTTATATCTATTATATAATTTACCAAGTTACAAATTAAAAAATTTTAACATTTGAAATTCATTTTACATCAACAACAATAAACTGGTAACACATTAACAGAAATAACATTTTCATGGATAATTATCTTTTTAAAACAAAACAAAATAAATGTAACAATGACATTGTGTTAAATTTTTGCAAAACCCCTTAATGGACTAGCTTAATACAAAAGTATTCTTAAAATGCTTCTGCATTCAATTTGTTGCAAAAATTAGGATAAAGCATAGGAAGAAACTTCAGCCTCACACAGATTGGTACTATAGTCAGAAAAGAGAAGCCCTTGCAGACCTGCTGATAAGAGTCTCAGGGACTCCCCAGGTGTCCTTGGACCACATTGCCCAGAGTCTGAGTCGTTTCCTGAAGTAGGCTTGAAGTGCCTTAAAGGCAGAGGATCATTCAATGGATCACTGAATCCTAGTTCCTGACCTTTCCCAAAATTTTTATTTGGAACGTAGAATAAAATGTTTTTGACAGGTTGACTGATAGAGGGAGCTATTGGCCAATACTAGCCCATAACTATAATACCAAGATTCAGAAATTTTCTCATCTCAGAAGATGAAACAGATTGAGACAGAACTGGTGTCTGAGAAGGCACATTGCTGTGCTCCCAAACACATGCTCTGCTTCTTAAAAAAGGTGAGGCAAAGGGTAGACTTAACAGAATAAACTTAAAATATTTGCCATTATTTAAGAAATGGGTAAAAATTCACAATAGCCAAAAAGTGGAAGCAACCCAACTGACAAATGAATGGAGAAACAAAATGTATATACGTATAGTTTATTCAGCCTTAAAAAGGAAGGAAATTCTGACACATGTTATAATGTGGATGAAACTTGAGGACATATGCTAAGTAAACCAAGCCAGTCACAAAAAGAGAAATACCGTATGATTCCACTTATGTCAGGTATCTAGAGTAGTCAAATAGAAACAAAGTAGATTGTGGAAAGGAGAATGGGAAGTTGTTAAATGGGTATGAAAAATTTTCTGGAAACTGGGTGCACAACAATGGAATACTTTTAATGTTACTGGACTCTTAATCATGGTTAAGGTGGTGAATTTTATGTTATGTTTATTCTACCACAAATTAAACTTGAATTAAGAAAAAAAGAAATGGGAAGAAATAGTAAACTTTTTTCTCTATTTAGTTCTGGCTAATCTCACCATTTCTTAATTAATTCAGTTTTACTTCTGTTTATTGAGCACAGTCTATGTGCTCACACTCCTGAGGAGCAAAAATCAGTTAAAACAGTACTTGTCCTAAAGGAATTTGCCCTCTAGTACAGGGTTGGTTAAGATACCCACATAAATAATTCAAAGGCCTCAAAAGAAACCCAAACTGGATGAAACAGGTCTTGGAGAAGGTAGTGCTTGGATTAGGATTTAAGAACAACAGAATTTCTGCTATGACTAAGTTCTGGGGGCAGCAGTATGAACACAGTGACCATCTAGTTTCCTACATTACCGGTCAGGTAATGGTTTTTGAATCGTTTTGAAGTGTTAGTCTAAATGTTAAAGATTACTCGTCTAACTTTACATTTAATCCAATAATCCATTCTACTTAAGAAAGAAATCGGGGTGATTGCAGGTAAGGAAATGTGGCTATTAGCAGGGAAACTGGTCCATGATAGAGCATACTGATTTTAGTATGTAGATCTGCCTTCCATCTTGCTTCTGCCTATGAGATTTATTAAGTTTCTTAACCTCTCCGAAAGCTGGTTTCCTCCTGTTCCAAAGTTGTCGCACACTCTAAATAACATATGTAAAAATTCTTGGCAAGCATTGGAAACTCCAAGCATTGGAAAGAGTTCCTGCTCTTTCAAGGCTCAGCTCAGGACTGGCTTGTGTGAAAAGTACACTCTAGGTTCATTATACCTGCACATTGCATTGAGCGGTTGGCTTGTGTCAGTCTGGGGAAAGGAAATCCCGGGGCAAAACACCTCCAAAAACCAAAATCAGTCAAAGGGAGGAATAAAGTTTAAAACCCGTTTATTTCTCACAAACTGCAATCCCAGTCCATCTTCCTTCTCTGCTCCAGCAGCAACCACAACGGCCCTCCCCCTCACCTCTCAGGTACAGATAAGCCCTCGGTTGCCCAGGTATCACCCGTTGATATGGAGATGAACTTCTCCACCCCTAAGGAAAGATGCAAATGCCCTAAAGCCATACTTCTTTCCACCTCTTAACGCCTATTGATATGCAGATATACTAAAGCCAGGCAAGATATTCTGGAAATGCTACAATTTTACCCACAGCTTGCAAGTCCATCTTCTCACCAGCCAGTGAACTCCCTGCAGGGGATCTGATTGACTTCTGCAACCCCAGAACCCGGCACAGTGCGCAAGTTATACAGCAGTGCAGTAATTAAGAGCACTGGGTGGAACTCGCACCAACAGAGTTGAATCCTGCCTCTACCACTTGCTAGCTATGCAGGTCCTTAACCTCCTCCCAGGGCCTCAGTTTCTTCAACTGCGAAGCGGCGATAATAATTATAACTACCTCACAGACTGCAGTGAAGTGTTCAAAACGAGCTCAGGCACTTACAGCTCACAGCTCAGTGCCCGGCATACAGGAATTCAGAACAGTAACTTAACTATTGCTAAGTTCTCTGTAGGTTTGTTGCCAAAGAAGATAAAGCTGTAGATGACTACACTCATTTCCTAAAAGGGCTACATTCTAACCAGAAAATTCTGTTGAGTCCCTGGTGACTTGACCCTTAGCTCTGGGGTGAGTGACATCCCTCAAAGGAGCTGTAACCCCGAGACCGACCAAGTGAGGGCAGGGCGCCGTCTCCCGGGCTGGGGAGGGACGGAGTCTGGCGCGCGAGTCACGTGGGGCGCGGGAGGCGGGTCTTCGTGCGCGCTGGTCACGCGGCCCAGTGTTGACACTTCGGGTGGGACCAAAGTGAGGCGGCCGGGCCGGGGCTGGCAGCTCCAGCGGGGAACCATGGCGTATAACGGCCTCACGGTGCCCCTCATCGTGATGAGTGTATTCTGGGGCTTCGTTGGCTTCTTGGTGCCCTGGTTTATCCCTAAGGGCCCCAATCGGGGGTAAGTGGGCCAGGCCCGCCTTGGGAGGGACGCGCGGTGAGGACCGGCCGGGCCGGGCGGCAAAGGGGGAGGTCCCATGGCGCTCAGACACCCTGCTGGGTGGCCCCGGACCCCAGAGGCAGGCCCGGATCTCCGTGCAGACCCCGACTGCCTTACTGCAGCTGCTTTAGTGTCCCCCGGCTCGAGCGTGACCTCCGGTGGACCTTCCGTGACTTGTGGGGTATTTTTTCTTATCAGGCTCCTGTGTGGAGAGGGTGTAGCTGGAAATGGATTTATACCGGCTCAAGGAGAAGTTGGGGTTCTTCTCTAAAGGACTTTCGCCCCTTTTGCCTTGCCCTCCACGCAAATGAGGCCTCGTTTGCCTCAACTTTAAAGGAAAGAATCGAATTACCGTGTCTGCCTCACATGTCGCAGTTGCACAGGTGCAACAACGTTGAGCCTAGGCCTGGCATCTAGTGGGTGCCAGGAGGGAGTCGGGGCTCGATCTAAAGCGAAATTAATTACCGAAGAGCAGGAGATATTGTTTAGAAACCCCTGCGTCATACCTTTCGGAGGGCGCTCCCGCCCTTGTGTGTGTGAGTGTAACTAGTTCTCAGAATGATGAAGAAACACTTTTCCCCCCAGACTTATTTGTTAAATAGAGCTTTAACAATTTTGTTGGTAAACTTTTATTGTACTATGATATAGTCTTTATCTTTAAAGGAACTTTGGAACAGCAAAGTTCCTCTTTTGCCTTTTAGTCATTTTTTCTCAGTTCAAGGTCATGTGGGGTGAAACTTAGACTGAAGTCATAGTTTGTCAAAAACACCATCTCTTGCTTTATTCTTTGAAACTTATTGGTGGCTTCACAGTGCTTTGCATGCATAGTAGCCATTCGGTAAGTATCTGTTGAGTGGATAATTCTATTGCCTTTATTAAAGGAAAGAAAATGCCATTACTTCCCTACTATTTTGTGACCTGGACCCCTTTTGCATTCTTGAACAAACTTCTGTTAGACGTATTACTTCTGTCTAGCTTAAAAGTAAATCATATTGGTTTAAAAAGGGAAAATAGCAGATGAACATATATCATTTGGTAGCATTAGGTCCCTCCTTCCCCTCTTCCCTGCATAGCATCAATTATATAGGGTCATCTCTTCTACCTGTAATAGATGATGTAGAGTGTTCAAATTCTGGGGTTATTAAAACAGCTGTATTAACTGAATTTATTAGACTTGTTTCTCCTACTGGAGTTAGAGAATAACAAAGCACTTCTTTGTTGTGTTTCTATCTTCAACTAATTCATTACCCTATTGTCTTCTTTTCCAGCCTGCATATTCAGAAAAGCATTTATATATGTACTGGTAGCCCTTCTTTCTTACGTGCCCAGCCTTGGGACTTGATGCCACTGCTATTATCCAGGGTAATAAAATGCCTCCTGTAGTACAGTGGCTATTCAGTTTCTAGCCCTACTGTCATGATTCAGGTTTGACCTGCTAGTGATCTGTTATCCAAGTCTAATTTGCAGCCTCCACCCCAATCCTTGTATCTCCTGCTATTGGCAGGATTGAACAGGTCTTAAAACACAAAGTGTCTCCCAGAAGTTATTACTGTGACACTTTGAGATACACTGTTCCTAGCTGAACCCTGTGACCTTGGACAATTTAACGTTTCCATGTTCCCAGTTCCTCATTGTAAAATGGAAATACTAGTACTGAGTTAGTACGAGTTCCCCTTTGCCTCCTGAAAAGACTTCAGTTCAATGTTTTTTTTTTTAAATACATGAAGGAGCTGAATTGCTTCAAGGTCTATGGTGAATTTTTAATACAGGAGAGCTTTTCTGATTTAAAATTATTAAAAAATCTTCATTAGGGAAATAAAGTTCTTTGTGCAAAGGGAGGAATGAAGACTTTGATTTTAATTAATTCCTTTTGCCTGCAAGACCCTATAAATCAGAATGCAAAAAATTGGTTCATTAGGAAGTTTTCAAGGACCTGGTGAGGCAGAAAGAAGAAAGGGCCAAAAAGCAAAAACTCTTTGACTCTGTGTATAACCTGAAGCAAGGCCCTTAGTCTCATTCTTTTCTACAACTGAAAAAGAGCTCCAGATAAAATAGGCTATGCCTGGAGTCAGCTTTCCAACTGTTCCCATTTTTCATGATTTCTCTCTTTTCTCTTTAGGAATCCACAGATATCTAAAAGCTTCAGATTTTGACATAGTGGCTCCCAGAGCATAGATGTGGGGGAGAGGATAGGAGTAGAGGGCAGGAATTCACGTTCCAGGAGTTAAGTCGGCTCGAGTGTTTTAAAATATACAGAACATTTTCAGACATACAGAAATATAGGGAGTAGTACGAGTGTTGTATACCACCACACAGATCCCTGTACATGTTCATTTATGTATTATAAGTGTAATGTACAAGTTACATATTTTGAAGAATGTATCTCAGAGTATATTCAGAGTCTGACCACTTCTCACTACCTGTGCTGCTACTAGCCTGATCCATGGGATTATTGCAATTCCCCCTAACTGTTTTCTCTGCTTTTCCTTTTGCTCCTCTTTCCCCATTCTACTTCCACCCTCTGGAGAGAATTTACTAGAATTTGAATCAGTTTGTCAGTTGTCTCCTCAAATCCCTCCAAAGAGCTTCCCTTTTCCTTTAGGAGGCTACAAGATACCTTTGACTTGACCTTCTGCTAGGTTCCACTTGCTGTACTCAACCACACAGGCCTCCATCCTCCTCTGAATGCCTGGTACCCTCTTACCTCCAGCATTTGCATTTGCTGTTCCTCCTATCTGGAACCTTCCCTCACCTCAGGTCTGCACACTACCTCTTCTGCAAATCCTTGCCCAACTACCCCCTTTTAAATTGCAACCCCAGCCTCCAGCCCCCTGTGTATCCTTATCCTTTTCTGTTTTATTTTTTCCCATCCACACTTACAATCTGATATACTAATGATAACTAGATAGATACTTACTGTTTGCTTACCATTCATCTTGTATCTTGTCTGTCTTCCCCCACTACTGTGTCACCTTCAAGGGGATGGGAATTTTCATCTATTTTGTTCCCTCTTCTTTTCCTAGAGCCTGATACATACTGGATGCTGAGGGGAAACCTGTTGAATGAATGAATGGATGTGCCATTATATTAACCACAGAAAGTATACACACACACAGAACTTCTAAAGGATAAGTTAAAATAAACACAAAAGGAGTTCTGATATTTGCATCCTGCATTCTAGGAGATAGTGTTGCTTACTCTGAAGGGTATGGAGACCCTCTCTTTGGAAATTACTCCTATGGATGAAGGAGGGCATTGAAAGGTGTTAAGCTGCAGCGTGATGTGATGAAAGGAATATTTAGAAAGATTAATCCAAGGTGATTTTGAATAAAATGAAAAGGAAGGAAGAAAGTTTTCAATCTGCTGGTGGTTGGTTAGCCAGGCAAATCTGACAAATTTTGGAGCTAATCGTGGAAATAGAAAGGAAGAAATCCACATAGGGAGAGATGATTTAAAGGACTGATCAACAGCATTTGGTGACCGAAAGTGCAGAAGAGGCATGAACATAAAGATGACAGATTGGAGGGGTGGGTCAGATGGGAATGGCAGCACTGTTTCTGGAGAGTAGATTTAGAAAGGGAGTCTTTGGAAGAGAAAATGGGAAGGGAATATCATGAACACAATTTTTAAATGTTGAAATTTGGTAGGTCAGCGATCCTTAGCATTTTCAGACAGGAATGAAGATGGGGAGACATGAATGCTAGAAAGTCCTGTTTTCAGTAGTGTCATTTCATTGCAGAAATACTACCAAACAGGTGATTACTTGAATGTCAGAACTGTCGCTGTAGCCTTTTGAGTTTAGTTTTAGATGGGTTTGGATTAGACACCTAAGCTGTGGCATCAGTACATTTCCCTTTAAACATAGATGTTAATTACTTAGTTAAACTTCTCCTGCGTGCGCCTGGGTTCACTGCACTCTACTGGTGTTTGAACAGATTCAGACCCATTTTCTTGGTGTGCAATCCTTGCCAGTTTGATAACTTGGAAAGGGGACTTAAACCACCCTGCACTGGCTTCGTAGTTTGCTAGTTATCTAATGACGTTTGCCTTTTTTTTTTTTAGAGTTATCATCACTATGTTGGTGACCTGTTCAGTTTGCTGCTATCTCTTGTAAGTACTTTTAATAAGAATTATTCTTGATGTTTATAATATGTGTGATTGAAAATTAAATTAGTGGAGCATGATTGTTGTGAAACATCACACTTTGCTTCACCAGAGCTTGTCCCTCATGTAACACCTAGAAACAGTCTCCTGAGATTGAAAAGAGCACTCTTTTCCTATGTTCAGTATATTTGCATAAGAACTCTACAGGTACTCTCCAAATTATTTGGCACAGTTTTAAATCTTATAATTAGCCAGAAATTGTCATGTGCTACTTTATGTTTTATTGGGGAGAATTTAATCCTACTCATTTCATTTAAATATCTCACTATGGAAGTAATAAAGCCATTCTTAATTATGACTTCTGTTATCTGATGAACACAAGTTGAGCTAGAATAGTAATCAGGTAACAATTTTTTAAAACAGTTCATTGTACATTATAATAAAATATTGTAGTAACTGGCACCTATTTGAATAGATTATAGAGTTTGTATAAACTGTTGAATGAAAACTGTTTTAGGTTATATAAGGCAATTCCTCAACATGTATTTTTGGAATACTGTTCTTTATTCCCATGAGTATCAAAAATGGCAAAACTATTCAGCCATTTTAAAGATATTTCCAACCCTGTCTACACTCTCCCCTTCCCTGAAGGATGGAATGAGTCAAGCCCCAGAAAGAAACTGAGTAATAGTCAGGTCATGGAAAGAATAAACACTTCAGAGTATTCAAAGGTCTTATAGTTTCTTTCTTTCGTTTTAATTGAGATATATTTCACATACCACAAAATTCCTCCTTTTAGGGATTTCTTTTTAGAGTTTAGAACCAGTGATTCTCTTTTCTTCAAGAGGGCTTTGTAGCTTCCTGAGACTTCCTTATATGGGAAGTGTTGGTGTGGGCCAGACTGTTGTTTACTGCGCCCAAGAGGTAGGAAGCAGTAGTTCTAGTCCTCTGATGAAAGGCCATGGCCCTCTGTGACTCTGAGGCTACGAATTTCTTATATTCTGGGGCCTTTGCACTAAGGATTTTCTGAGAGGTTCATGGGGACAAGGCAATTCTAGTTCTTGGCATAGATCAAATTCTGGCCCTTGACAAAGCATGAGTACCATGAAATTTGCCTGTCTGGCCAATCACTCAGTCATTTGTTCAAGTGCAACTGTATTCAAAGCTGAATTATGATGCATTTTAGGAGTTTTGCAAAGTGAGGATGGCATTGTTTGCCTCGGCACTAGGGCTTAGATGATGAGACTTTCTACACCTGGCTTGTTTAGTTTCTTTTTTTCCTAGTTAGAAAGGTAAAAGCCTTTTTCAGTTGATAGCTTAGCTTCCAGAATAGAAGTCTGACAGGTAGCACACGGAGGGAATTCTTATACTAGCTGTGTTTAGCTCTAAAGAGTGAATGAGGAGAAATACATACATCATCAAGAATTCCTCATTTTAGTAAATCCTACTGAGTCTCCTGTGAAAATCCCAACAAAGGAGCTCTTTATCAATCTAGGAGCCAAGGAATGGTCCTATGATTGAAAAGGCCTTTATTTTTATTTCTTTGAAGAGCTCTGCTACATGAACAGTAAGGTTAGTGGTGAGGTTTTAAAAAAAAAGAGAAAGTTACTTCCCAGAGGAATAACTTGAGACTGAGCCAAGATGGGGCAAAAATGTTTTGTGACTTAATGTTCTTCGGTTGTCTTTGGAATTTGGTTAATTTTTGTGCTGTTCTCTTTAAACAAACAGGAAACCTTGCCAATCAGTCTTATCAGTCTAATTTCCAAGGGTAAAATGAGTAACTGGATTTGGTTGGAAATTATATCACCTTGAGTCTTAGTGACACAGTTGAGAGCTATCTGTGAGAACAACCTTACTTACCTCTTGCTGTCTAGATTTTTTACTTTGTCCCGAATGTGCTAGTGACTGTTCTACTGACAGGGGATCAGTACTGTCATTGGTGTATTAATAAAGGGTAGTAAACAGTGTTCCAATATTAAATGCTTTGGAGGCCATTTTATGGGGAAAATAGTATAGACTTTATGAAATTGTTTTTTTCTTTTGTTTGAAACCTGGTCATATATCCTATTTAACAAAATCTTGCCTGAAGTGTATGGGTGGAATTCAAATCCCAAACATTTTGCATTCCTTACTCCACAAAATGGTGGGATTCTATAATAAATTTTGAAATTCAAAGTTTGGTACCAGTAAGTATATTTTCCTGAAAATACCTCTTTAGAAGGAAGACACACCCAAAGAAACTGGATTTCTTCAACAAAGTCATGTTTTGAAATACATTCATGGCCTTCTGTTTGTGGCAGTTTTTTTTGCTCTTTCTGTTTGTTGTAGTTTAGGTTCCATTCTGTGGAGCATAACTTGTTTGAGCTCTGAGTAAATCAGGATCTCTGCCAGTTCAACCGGTTTGAGTTAATAGTTCAGCCAAAAAAAGTCTGAATGTTATACATCTAGTTCCCTCTTTGAGGCATGAGATGACGTTTGTTTCTTAAGCATACAATCCTGTTAGTTACTGTTCATACCTTCTTTTGATCTTAGTTTAGTTGTTAATGTTGAAGTATGTTGTAGTTTACCCAGAGTCACAAAATTCACATCCTTCAGGTAAGTTAGAAAGTTAGTATTTTACTGTGAAGATACAATTGCTTTGTGGAAAACATGCTGTATTTTTTCTTACACTTGACTAATTTTAAGTCTTACCAGCAGAGTGATATAGAGAAAGAAATATTGACTAGGAAGCAGGAGACCTTGGTTCTTCTAGGCTGAAGGCTATTTGGCCTGATTATGTTATTGTATGATTTGAGGAATTTTTAAACATAAGAATGTGTATGAGAAAAATACAAAGTTATATTACCAGTAATTTCTAAAAATGAATTATTTTAATTCAAAGTACTCTCTTGCTTATAAGAACAGTTTTCTTACAGGGGTATTGTAGTGTGTATTTTATTGGGCCTTATTAGAGTTCATTCATTCAGCCTATTTATTTAGAGCCTACTATGTACCAGGCACTGGATTTGTAGCGGTGACAAATAAAACAGACATATCCCCCTGCCCTCTTTAGTGAGAGGAGACAGACAGTAAACAAAGAACTCAAGAAGCTCCAATCACTTCCCAAAGAGGTTCCCTCATCTACTCACTCCTACAAACCCCTCTTCTAATACCTCAAATGAGTCTACCTCACCCACCCCCTCCAGCCCCCTTATACTGCTCATCACACAAGGACCTGTGTGGAACAGCCTATAGGAACTATAGGAACTCACCCCAGTGGTCCAGGAATTTGCAGATCCAAAAATGCTGAGCCCAGCCTTGCTTGGTCCTGGGGTTAAAGCCAATTTGGGCACAGGACATGATCACCTCCCAAGACCAGCGTGCTCCACTTTGGTCCCCAACCAAGTAGCCACAAGCTGGCCAGTTTCTGGGCTGCTCCTTATTATAACATATTTTGTTTTGACCTTTTGTTTTTGTGCTTCTAAAAGCTAGTCTATACTCTCTACAAAAGTATAAAGAATAACTAGCATAATGAACCTTCATTTGCCTGTGTCCACCTTTAAAAATTATCAGCTCATGGCCATTCTTGTTTCATCCACACCCTTTCTCTCTTTCTACCATAGACGATTTTGAAGCAAATCCCAGACAGCAGTTTATGGGTAAATGTTTTAATACATATCTCTAAAAGATAATCATTCTTTTTTTTTTCATGTGTAACCACAGTACCGTTATCATATAGAAAAATGTTAATTCCTTTATGTCATGAAATATCTTATGTTTAAATTTCCCGAGTTGTCTCATTACTTATTTTATAGTTTGTGTAAGTGAAGATGCATGTCAAGACTGTGCATTGTAGGCTGATGGATGTGTCTCTGAAATCTCTCGGTTCTTCTCTCATTTCTCTTGTATATTTTAATAGGAGAAAACTGGATTGTTGGCCTAGCAGTTTTCCAGAGCCTGGTGCTTGTTAACTGCAAACCTATGGTGCTGTCTAACATATTCTTCTGTTTTTCATGCGAGTTGGTAGTCATACTTAGGGGCTAGATCATCTTCAGGTTCAATTTTTTGGTGAGTCTGTTTCATAAATGGCACTGATGTGTTCATATGCTGCTGGCATCATTGATGTACTCTGTTTCTATAATTTCTTGTTTGTTTATTAGCTAGAATATGGCCATAAGTAAAGATTTACTTCATCAACTATTTCATGATCCAAATAACTGAAGAACAGTTCATAAAGGAAAGTTACAATCTATGTGTGGCTTTTTCTTTACTTACTGGTTTTCAAAATAATGAATTGGCTGGCTCCTAGCATCTTCCACTGGTAAGCAATGATTTTTGTTATCATTTTTATCATTTTGTCATTTTATTAATGAGGTTATCATTTGTTATTATGATCTGATACATTTAAATATATTTGATGTGTTTCAATCCAGTAAAATTAATATCCTTATTGATGTTCAGATTGTCCCATTTTTGGCCAATGGAAGCACATTGTATTGGCTTTTTATTAGTAGGCTGTTAGTCTCTGTCTTCACCTCTAGCTCTGAACTCCTTCAGGACAGAAGTGTGTTCTGTATAGGTGGAATGTCTGTCTTTCGCTCTCCATAGGTTGTTAATTTTTTTGTGCATTTCCTATCTCATTTGGTGCTGTCTGCTAATAAAAAGATATAGAGGCATCGATAATGCACAACAGTGGGGAAGTCGAGTTTGCTCCTGAAATATGAGGCCCTCCCACCCTTGACCCTTTCAGCTTGGAACTCCCACATGGATAGCCAAAGGAAGCCATATGTTTTAGCTAATGTGCTTGTTCCCTTCTTTGGGTTTTTCTCAGTTTATATCTCTTATTTATGGTTCCACAGCTTATTATCCATCTTTGTCTGGAATTCATCCAGTAAGCCCTTCGCAGAACACCTAGTCTGTGACAGTCCTGGATATGCAGTAGTGAATGAGATTTCTGCCTTCCTAGAGCTGACAGTCTAGTGAGGGGAGGGAGTCCAACAAGTGGATTAACAACAGCAGCCACAAGT